TGGTGCTGAGGATCAAACTCAGTGCCTCACATATGTGACGCAAGTACTTTACCACTGAGCTACAGCCCCAGTCCCCATATTGTTCTTGTTATGAAACTGTAGCACTTGTTTGCTGAACAACCCAGACAATGTTGAGGCCTGGTTCTATAAGAACAACTACAGGGACTTCTTATTTAGCCACCAGAATACACCTTTTGAAAGGACAGAAAGAACCTGTAAGGGTATCCAGTTAAACTTTCTTATAATCAGATTAGTAAACTTGATTTCTTCACACAAAACTAAGCACATCTATAGTCCCAGATTAAAGTCCTTAGTCCCTCTAAGACTCAAGTAGGGTAGGGAAGGAAATAGTACCCAAATTACCCAGGACCAGGACTATATTCCAGGACTCCTGACCCTCCGTTCAGAAATCTTTCTAGACTTTCTGGCAGAAGGGGACTTTGGTTCCCTATTCCAGCCAAGTTGAAGATGAAAACCCCTATATTTCTGATTCTAGAACCTAATTTCTGAGCTCTATGCTAAGTGGTTGAAAAAGGAAAATATCTCCTTCAGGGAAGGCTCAGGCCTGTGGGAGACATTTATCTAGTTCTAAAGACATAGTGAGATGCAGAAATGCTGGCAGTTTAACAGTTTTATGACAAATATACTCATAGCCTTGAGAGCCCCACTATCTAAGGTCTCCATAATATGTAGCCAAGGATGGGACTGAGCCTCTACTGCTTCTGTCCTCTTAGGAAAAAAAAAGTCATGCATTGTCTTTCAGGTCCCTGGGATAACATCTCTTTGCTATCTAAACAAGGAAATAAAAGCAATCCTCAAAATGAACATTTTTCAACCCAAACATTCTTGAAATTCCCAAAACCTCAGGGCTTAACAAGATAATTACCACACTGGAACTCGCTTAAACTTTCCAACTAAGTTAAGATCAAGGATATGAAGTCCAATAGGACTCCTGACCTTTGGGGATCCTTTGAGATTTTAACAGATATCTACCAACTCATGCTTCCATCTTTCCATTCTCCAAGCCCAGTGTGCTAATTCTTCACATATTTTCCTTCTCTTGGCCTGGAAAAAGACATCCAGTGCTGTCCCTTTAACTTCTACCACCTATTTCAGAACACCTGATCATTGTTCTAAAAACACCTACTCTGGAATTCAGATTCTGGTCTCTTTCGTTGACTTCTCCAAACAGAACTAAGCACTTCTTAGTCCTGGATTGAAGCATTTTTCTTCAAATGTATCTCATTGCTCTAATTCATCATTGGTTTATGGGTCTCCTCTGATTAGACTGTGAAAACTTGAGAGCATAGACTTTTAAAATTTTGCATGCAGCATAGATTCTGAAATGGAATCACTGTTTTCTGAATGAATGAATGGATAAGTGAATGAACAAACAAATATTTTGTCTGACTTATAGAAAATTATTTCACTTCCAATAGGTTGCAAGATTCAAAACAGGGATCATTTTGCCTACACAGGTTTTGAAGACAAACTAATTATTGCCAGTTTAAAAGTTCTGGCATAATTATAAAGATAAAGAGACGATCTATGATTGCCAGGGAGTAGAGGGGAATGGACAGACTACAAAGTGACATGAGGGAATTTGTGGAGATGATGAAAATGTTCCATATCACAATTGTGTTGGTGATTGCATAACTATACACATTTGTAAAAATGCATCAAATAGTATACTTAAACTTGGTGAGTTTAGTATACGTAAATTACATGGTAATAAAGCTGTCTCAAAATGGTCTGAATTTCCAAGACAAAAGGAGCTTTGAAATCTAAATCTATCAATGTAATCCAGGTGGCTGTTATAAAAAGAACATGGACCTGAGAGTTCAGAAACAATGTTCCAATTCTGGTTCTACCAACAGTTATCTAGGTGATCTTAAATAAGATCTTTTAGTTTTTCTGAGACATCTCTTCTGCCTCACTGAGATAGTAGGTGTGGATGCACTTTAAAAAGTTCATCACTTATTATGATCAGAATATCTATTATGAACAGCCAAATTTCAATGAGATCCAGAGACTTTGTTGCCTAAAACTTAGGAACAAGGAAAAATAACTAGATCCTGAATCTCAAGGCTCACACTTGCCAACTCCTATAAACCAATTTCTCCTCCTCATCTGATTAATAAACTTCCTTTTGAAAATGTTTTCTTAGAATAGCCTTGGGGAGAAGAGGAGGCTGGCTAATTTTAACTACTGGGAGAAAGTGTGGCTGGCTTTTTGACAGGTGACACATAAGGGTTGCACAAGGGAAAAGAACTGAGGGGAAGCCCAAAACAGCAGCTTTCTTCTTTGAGACTGCTGGGGATCTGAGTGCTGATCTCACCTCCAGAGTGTTCCCATCAGAGCTCCTTGATTTGGTAAGGTGGGGGACTGCCACAGCAGGTTTCCTGATAAGATCATCAACTGATGCCTAGCCTGTCAAGGCCAAAGCCAATAAATATGTGTCCCTTAAATATGCTGGCAAATATTAGGAGTGGTAGGGATAGAATATGGATAGATCCATATGCTTTTAAACCTACTGTAGATACCCTGCCATTTTCCCTAATTGTGCCTTGGAATGGGCATGAAGCTGCTGGCTTGGGGCCACAGAAAGTCTAAACTGCCTCTGATATAAATTTATTTCCTTCCAGCCTCACTTCATTACCTGGAAAATGGAAGTAGCATAGTATTTCCACGATGGCTGTGAGAATTAAAAGGCATTATATGTGCAAAAGTACTCTCTTAACTGTAAAGTTTACAGACATGAAAAGAGTGGCTCCCTTTCACTCTTAGAACTGTTTATAAGAGACCAGCTTGAAATGACTCTTCCCAGGGGACAGGGATATATTATATAGCTCCTGCTGTCTGAAAAGGCCATCTCCTTTTGCTCTGTCTATTTCAACCTTCCCATCTTTCAGAGCCCAGCTCAAATTCCACCTTATAAAAAGTCTTGAATATCACATAACTAGATTTTTTTTTCAATTACCTTGGCTCAATCCCTTGAAAAACTGTTTTGCTTACAATTATGGATTTTTGGGGATCATGAAAGATAGCATAGATAAAAGCCCTGCCTTTTGATTTAGGATTATACAGTGAGTTCGGTTCCTGGTTATACTACTTACTAGTAAGATGTCCCCTCTTTGAGCCTCAGAATTTTCATCTACAAAATAGGGGTGAGATTAATTGACAGCATTGCCATGAGGTCAAATGAAACATTGAATTTGAAATAATTTTTCAAATGCCACAGAGATATGAACTATTATTATTACTAGTATTATTATTACTTTTTATAGAATTATAGTAATATTATATTACACATAATTACATATGACACATATACTTTTATTATATTAGTAATAACAATATTACTATAGGGCTGATAAGGACTACAAAACTGTTTCTTAACAGTTATAGTCTTTTTAGTAGCCCCCTAAACCACTGGATATTTTATCTTACTGGAAACACTTCCTTGGATTTTACCTCTAAGGGTCTTACAAAGGTTGGCTTACCCTGGGAAAGAATATTATCACAAATGCCTAATTGCCATCTTTGAACATACACAAATTTCTAATTAAGAGGAAGCCGATCATTTGTTCTCTGACTGAAAAAAAGCCCAGCAGGATGTAGTTCAGTGGTAAAGTTCCCCTGGGTTCAATCCGCAGTACAAAAAAAAGCCTAAAATAAAGACATGGCTAAAATGTAAACAGGTGTACAGAAGAGTCTGTTGGTGTCCTTTGTCATGAGAGGAGTGGACCAGCCTAACTCTGGACCAAGTAAATTAAGTGGGAAGGCTAGGAAAAGGGAAACTCAGCAGAGGGAAGATAATGAGAGAAAGAATCCAAAACCATAAAAGATTTCCTGTGGGCCTCACTTTGCAACTCTTAAACTACAACAGAAAAACCAACAAACTTCAATTTCATGACACATACCCCTGGCCAAGATATCTAAATGTGTGCTGTCATGAAACAGGCCTAAACTGCTGTGAATCTATTTCTGAGAGGGCATATTCAAATTGGAGGGCAATGGTAGTGAATGTTAAGCCACCAGGCCAGACACCTCTGAAAGCTGCATTCACCGGTATTATTGCTCACCAGGGCTTAGCCATAGAAATATAACCTATGTGCCCAAACACATGCTCCCAGATATACTGACTATGCAGAAATAAAGACTCATAGGAAAACAGGCATTCATAGACATCTTCAAGGAAAAGCATGCAAGTGAAAAGGTCTACAGAATCAAACACTTACAAAAAAGCAGCACATGTCAAAACACCCAAAGATAAAATCTGACAAAAAGGAGTGTGTGTGTGTGTTTATGTATGTATGAATATACTTATACATACACATATATAGATAGACATAAAGATATATAGATAGATAGAAGCAGCAGAGGGTAAAGTTAAGAAAGAACACATTGTAGTCATACTGAAAGACACCCACACATGCAGCAAAGAAGCATTTAACAGGCATGAAATGTACAAAGACACACAGAGAGGCATACGTGGACAGACAGACATATTCACAGTTATAGCAAGAAAGCTACAAATGTCCATATAGTGCCCAACAGGCACAGGTATAAAGAATCCTGCTAACACTGAAATCCTAAGTGCCAGTTTTTTATGTCGGTATTTATGACAAGGAATGCCTATGAATATGTCACCAGTTAGCACTGAAGATGATCATGAACCTAAAGGATATAATAAAAGCAAACCAAAGTACACAGGGTTTAAAATGTAACAGTTCCCCCATCTGCTACAGCAAAGGCAGCCAAAGACAACAGAAGCAGCAAGCTGCATGGAAACCACAAAAACGTCCTTGATTATTCTCATGCAAAAATTAATCCCAGGGGAAAAAGTTCAATGTTTCCATCTTTTATATAGCCATAAAATATCTCCAAACCCCATTTATAAATTTCTTCCATTACACATGCTAGAAGCACCAATACATGTAATATGTGCAGGGAAAAGGAAGCTTAGAGGAACTAAGGTACTAAGAAAGGGGACTTACTTCATTAATTGGCTTGTTTCCTGGTCTCTGCAGCTTCCAGTATCCACCAATTTTCTTGCAGGTTTCTAGAGTCTTGGAGCCCTGGTCCAAGTTACCTGTGGTAAGAGAGTGCTGTTTAGATTGAGTCGAGACCCCAGCTCCTTTCGGGGAGCCCTGACTGTTGGTCACTTTTGCCCATCTTTCAGACCCACCAGCATTAGGGCTTACGGGGGAAGGGAGGGAAGGGTATGCTCATGTAAATTTAGTGATAGAAAGTTAGCTAAAAGTACTCAATTCAAAACCAGTATCTGAAGTACCCCAGACCTACTTAAATTGCTCTTGGGAAAAGAAGAACCTCAAGCTCTTTGTCTGGAATTATAAAGAAAGAATTCCAGTTCTGGACAATTTTCATGTAAACTTGAAATCTTAGGTTACATGTATAGCCTGGTTAATTAAAGTACACAATAGCTCAAATTTCTTGCCTCTCCTAACACTTCCCCAGAACAACATAAATAGTTTCAAATTTTCATCCGTTTCTGTAGCCCACCCCTTAAGAGGAAATGTGAGCAGTGGATGTGTCCAAAAACCAGGGAGTAGGAGGATAAACCAAGCATATATCTAATCAGATGCAATTAGTAAGTGAAATCTGTGTTCTCAGAGCAGCCAAACAGCACTGCTTCCATTTCCAGTATGAGGATACTGAGGTTCTCAAAAGGGGTTTGTTATAATTCACTACACAGAAGTATCTACAGAAACCCAATAATAGACCTCACGTCTCCTGACACCTGGTTCAGTTATCAAACATGATTAAATTGGTACTACTATCATAGAAATATTCAAATAAGTAAACATACATAAGTTTCCTCTTACCTGCTCAGAAACCAGTGTTTTGCTTAAAAATTCTTCTAATTGTTCCATGGTTGTTCATTCAAATGGTGTTAGGTTCTTCCAGTTGTACCCTACAACTCTCTAGATCAATACTAACCCAGAGCCAACCCTATTGAGAAGGGCAGGGTCTCAGGGAGAAATGATTTGAATGTTACTTCCAAAACAGGATTCTGAGTCAGCCCAGCCTCAAGTGGTTTGAGCAGAGCTCCGACAATATGTGGGGTGACGTGTGTGGGTATGCTTACAGTAGGACTGTTTCTGATATTCTGTTTTTTTTCCAAATACAAGAACCCCTCATTTCATGAGGAAAACAAATCTTGATTCCTAATAGTAGCGTCTATAGGTATTTAAAGACAATGCAAAGTACCTGGATAGATAAAAGACATATTCCTACCTCTAATTGTTTTATTGTATTGCCAAAATTATAATTTCAGGCTAGTTGTATAGCACCTCACCTCATAAGGCCTTTCATGTTTGTTAGCCCTTTTAATCCTCACAGCTTTGCTTGTAAGATCCAAATGATTATCCCAAGTTGCATATAAGAATACTGACATTCATATATACACAATGGAATATTACTCAGCAATAAAAGAGAATAAAATCATGGCATTTGCAGGTAAATGGATGGAATTAGAGAAGGTAATGCTAAGTGAAGTTGGCCAATCCCCAAAAAAACAAATACCAAATGTTTTCTTTGATATAAGGATGCTGATTTGCAGTGGGATAGAGAGCGGAATGGGAGGAATGGACAAACTCTAGATAGGGCAGAGGGGTTGGAGGGGACAGGAGGGGGCATGGGATTATTAATCATGGTGGAATGTGATAACCATTATTATCCAAAGTACAGATATGAAGATACAAATTTGTGTGAATATACTGTGTATACAACCAGAGATATGAAAAATTGTGCTCTATATGTGTAATAAGAATTGTAATGCATTCTGCTGTCATATATAAATAAAAATAAATTTTAAAAAAGGATAAAAAAAGAATACTGATGTTCTTTTGGTGAAAGTTTTCCAGGCCTTTTTCTATATATGTAAATACATTTTATTTTTCCCCTTAAAATAAAATTAGGCTTATATTTAAAAAAAGAATACTGATGCTCAAAGAAGTATAATGACTTATTCCAGGTAAAACAGGTATTAAGTAGCAGAAGCAAAATTCAAATCTAAGTATATCTCATTTCCAAACTGTTGCTCTTTCCATCACTCTAAGTTGTCAGGAAACAAAATCCACTGATTTTCCAATCTTGATCAATAAATGTCTGTTGAATGTGCAAAAGAGTGAGTAAAAGAATGAATGAGAGGGAGAAGCTCATGTAGCAAAATCCAGGTTGAGCTCCATAGTGGTGTATGTATGTATGTATATGGAAAAAAAATTTAGGCACATGATGGACAGTGGAGAAAAGAAGCAACCTGCCATCACTGAGCACTTTTGTATGCTAGGAACTGTGCTGCAGCATTCACACATTCATAAATTCTATTTCATTCAGTGCTCACAACACTCCTGTGAGACAGATGTTATTCAGTACCCCACTCCCCAGATGGGGAAACTGAGGACCAGAGATCTTATGCACGTTTCCTAAGGTGGCAGAGCAAAAATTTGACACTGGATCTATCCAACTCCAAAGTTGATCCTCTTTCTATTATAATGGTCTGCTCTGGCAACCTCCAGGTTAGAATCTTAGAGGGAAGTGTTGGTAAGAGTGTATGTGAAGGCAGATGGAAGTGCAGAAATCCAGCAGTAAAAAATGAAATGAAGTTCTTCAAGTCCTGAGCAAGATGGAAGTAAATCAAATACTAATCACGATCTGAATGTGGTCCTCAGATCCTATCACTAGCAGAATCAGAGACAGAAGAGGAACTGGATGACAGCCAGCTTTCTAAATGGGGTCCTGATGTCACCCTGTTTCCCAGGGATATTTTTAGACTCAAGTGTCTAGTGGGGACCTTGAGAAGCAGAACTGTAATGTGGGAGCCATTTATATCCCAAAGGTGAGAGTGGCTGCTGAGGTGATGCCAAAACATAAACCAAAGTTGGGGATACATTTTCCCACCCTTGGCCTATAAATAAGCCCAGAGCAGTCACTATGGTAAGGACTATTAACCCTGATGAGCCCTCACCCTAAGGGGCTGTTATTTCTTTCTAACAATTAGGAGGCTTGTGTGGGAGTCTATCTGATGCACTTGGCAGTGGGGGCGGGGAGTTAGCAGCTGCTCAAAAGCCTCTAAATTGCCAGGGGGTGGGTCTGCTTCCTAAGAGAAAAGGAGAGAGGGGAGAAACAACTGTGACCAGTTCCTCTGCCATAGGCCCCCTGACCTGACTTCCTAGGGGATTATAGGAGACTCCTAGGCAGGAGACTTAGAAAATATGGCAGACATCTGCTGCTGACTTAATGGCTTATTTTATATCCACCTCCTGCAGTTTCTTCACAGGAGCGGAAAGGGGTAGTAACTACACTGCAGGTGAGTTTGGGTGGAACCAGAGCCTTGACATCCCATATCTCACTCACACACACACACACACACACACATATACATATATACACATACATAAATATATGCATGTATATGTGTATATATACACATACATATATGTATGTATGTATGTGTATATATACGCATATATATCCACACATATGTGTGTATACATATATATATATATATATATATATATATATATTTTTTTTTTTTTTGGGGGGGGAATACCAGGGATTGAACCCAGGTATCCCCCCCACATCCCCAGCCCATTTTTTACAAATATTTTTGTTGTTGTTGTTGATAGACCTTTATTTTTTATTTATTTATACGTGGTGCTGAGAATCAAACCCAGTGCCTCACACATGCCAGGCAAGTGCACTATCGCTGAGCCCCAGCCCCAGCCCCAGCTCCCCAAAGCCCTTTTTAAAATTTTTTATTTTGAGGGCTGGGGTTGTGGCTCAGTGGTGGCGTGCATGCCTAGCATGCATGGGGCACTGGGTTCGATTCTCAGCACCACATACAAATAAATAAATAAATAAATAAATAAATAAATTCCATCAACAAATAAAAATATTTTTAAAAAAATTTATTTTGAGACACGGTCTTTTGTTGCTTGGGGCTTCATTAAGTTGCTGAGGCTGGTCTGGAACTTGCAATCCTCCTGCCTCCACCTCCCAAGTCACTGGGATTACAGGTATGCACCATTGCGCCTGGCCGAGTATTTAAGACTCCACACCAAAACTGGAGAAAAATATCATTTGTTCATGCTGGAAATTCAGGATACCAAAGCCCTCATTCATAACTGACTCTGTGACCTTAGGCAGATCCCTTTACCTTTTTGAGACTGTTTCTCCATCTGTAAAGCAAAAGGACCACTCAAACTCTTAGGACCTTTGTAGTTCTGACTGTGAAGGATCAGATTTCCCTGTTCTCAAAATTCTTTACTCTTTCCTTTTACTACCTTCATAGCTTCTAGGGAGTTTTGAGGGTAATGATGCTACAGAAGATCCAATCAGCTATTTCTACCTTCCTGCAAAGCCAGGAAGGAAAGGTGAGAGATAAGCTCTAAGACAAGGCAACCCATTTTCCCTCACACGTGGAGTAAAATGAATAAAGGAAGAAATAGGAAAAGGAGTAGGTTCAGAGCAGCTTTATATCCTTTGGGGTTATGGGAACATTGTGGTATGGGGAAACAGGACTGGAGTTCTCAGAACTTTTAGAGACTTTGGAAAGTAATTGTACATGGTCCTAGTTACCATCAGCATTCATACTAATTTTGTTGCTGCAAAAAGGACTAGAAACAGGCCTGAAGCCTGTTAGGATATGGTGTAAAGCACAGGCATCCAAGAGCATGGATTTCCCCTCAATGTGGCAGAAGACGTAGCTTTACTTGTGAGTGAGAAGAGCCTGGAAGGCAAAGCTAGTGGGCTGAGTCTGAAATGACCCACTCTGAAACTCTGGGAAGTAACTAGGTTTTGGAGTGGAAAGTCTTGGGTTTTGAGTGGGTTAAATGAAGCTGCCCTGAGCTTTGAGGAGTTTCCCATAATTGGTAGTCAGTGAAGGAAATGAAGGACCTAGGACCCCTAGAAAGTGAGGTAAGAATCAAGAGAAACAGGACTAGGATGACCCCATGGAGGTGAGGATTATGTAAGACAGGTCCCTTTGAGGCCAACATGGTATATATACGTGCACTGTGAAGCGGGGAGAGCAGAGCAAGAACTGGAGCATATCCCGAAGCCTGGAAAGTACTAGGAACAGAGGTCCTGGGAAAAAGAGAGATTTTTGGGAAGAATGTGATTTGCAAGGGCTTTGAGCTAAAGGGCATCCAAATGGGGATATTGGCATTTTAAAAGAAGAGCATGAAAGAGCTAACTCTATGCTGGGTTGTGGCTCAGTAGCAGAGTGCTTGCCTTGCACATGTGAGGCCCTGGGTTCAATCCTCAGCACCACATAAAAATAAATAAATAAAATAAAGATATTGTGTGCATGTATAACTAGACAGATTTTTTTTTAAAAAGGGCTAATTCTATAACAAGGCATGGCTAAATTATGAATTTCAGATGCTAATGAGAGGGCATAAAAGACATACCAGTGCAAAGCATCATGGGTCTCCTCCAGCCCACTTGGTCCAGCTCCACAGGGATACTCTGTGAGATGGGCAGAGAGTGGCATTTTTCCAAAAGGATTTTGAGTGGTGGAGTCCTTGGTGACGGTTCAGCCGGGGGAAATAAGGCCTGCAAAAACCAAACAACAACCAAATAGAATTACTTAATAGAAGTGAGGAGCAAGCCAGCACTTGGCTTAAATGTCAGAGCTTCCATTTTGAAATGTCATTTGGTCCAGGCCCCAAATACAAGCAGGGTGAACATGTGCCATTAATAAATTCAAGCAAATACTCAAATACCAAGAGCTTAGAAGATACCAGGGAGTGGAAAAAATGAAAAACGAGCAACTCGTTTAAAGAAAATAACAGTCATTGTTTCTCTTTTCTAGGGCGTGTGTGTGTGTGTGTGTGTGTGTGTGTTTGGTTTATATTGAGATACAATGAGTGAGGGTTCTGCATTTGCAAGACTTTATCATTTACTCATTGTAAGATGTGGGGGGCAAATGATTCATCTCTCTGAGTCTCACTTTCTTCCTTTGCATATAAGGAATAGTCAGAGCATGCCCCTTTCAGAGTTGCAGGGATGAGGAAATGAGATAATACAAGTAAAGCACACAATAAAGTACTTTGTTAAAAACAAGTGTGTGTGCATGCACACACAAGAATGACAGAGACAGAGAGACAGAGAAATGCTCCCTTGCAAAAGCACATCTTAGCTAAGATCAAACCCAAGTCCTTCCACTCACCATCAACATAGCCTGCTGTCTTCATCCCAACTCCTTTTATTTTCCAAAATCTTGACCTCCAGGTAAAAAACATGGAAAGGAACCAAGATCTATGGCATCTCTGTGGTGTATCTGATATATATCAGAGACTCTGATAAATCATCCTATTTACCATACTATCTCATTATTCATAACTACTTCACAATGTAGACAGTAGCCCATTTTACAGTCAGAAAACTAAAGCTAGAAAGGGAAATGCATTTTCCAAGGTCATACAACTAATAAGTGATAAGTCTATCTGACTACAGTCCTGCTATACTGTATTTCTAGACAACATGAAAATAACACCTTGGTGCCTACATCCTTCATTCCTCCCCAACACTCCTAAGTCACTATGGAAACAGTAGAGGTTTCTTCCACCCGTGTCACTTATTCATAAGAAGATTGGATATAAGTAGCAGTTAACAGTCTATATGACCCTTGAAAATTAGTTTAGCAATTGGGCAGAGACAAATTCTCAATTCAGTCCATTCTTGCAACAGTCACTGGGTCATACTGAAAACAGAGCTTCAGACAGTAGCTCTGTATGTATCTAATGGCATGGTCTCAGGGTTGATTTTAACCACTCCTCTTAATCCTAACTTATTTACTTTGCCTTCCAGACCCATAAACCATTAGAACTGGAAAGTTTACAAATAAAAAAATCTAATCTCCCCACAATGAAACAGATGGGAGGAAAAAAAAAAAAACTGAAGCCCAGCAATGAAAGGGACTGGGCCCTTGAATTATTTTTATTATAGGTAGAAGTAAGAGGCTAACTATACAGTATATTGTCAAACTATGTACTTTTACTGAGGCCCATACTAAATTAAGGAAAAGTTGGACCCATCCAGAGTATATAAGAGTTGAAGGAAGGGAGGACAGAGGAAAAAGGCAAGAGTGTCTGGCAATTTGGTTGGCAAACCTAACTATTGTTTCTTTTACAGAGCACATATTGTGCTACCAGCTTAAAAATAGGCAGCAGGTAAGAGACTGAAGAAAGTGAACTTGATAATTCTCACAGGATTCCAGTATGAAGTAAGAGGCTATATAGAACCAGCACTGGCCAAAAGTCTAACTCCTTGTATTCTGCATCTACCACCGATTCATTCTGTATATCCTTAGACAAGGCTCAGTCTTTTCATCTGTACAACGGAGACAGTAGCCACTGCCTTAACTACTTCTGAGCATGGATATGAGTATTATTTGTAGGCATAAGCTTAATAAAATGAGATAATGGTGATAAGACCAAAACAACACTGGAAGGGAGAGGAACACTGGGGCTTCAAATGAAATAATAGAATTAAAGGCATATAGTGTTGATATAATATTTATGTTATAAATAGTATTTGATATACTAAGTATAATATTCTTTATTACCTAGAAAGGAAGCAGAGGGGATTTCTTATCTCCAGTAGAAAAATAAAGGAAACAAAATTACCATAGATACATATATGACTACACCTATGGTGCAGCACTACATCATGTACAACCAGAGAAATGAAAAGTTGCACTGCAATTCTGTATAATAAATCAAAATGCATTATGCTGTCACATACCTAATTAAAATAAATAAATAAATTTTAAAAAATCAAAGTGGTTAAATGATTTATCAAAAGTCACATGTCTGGTAAAGTACAAGATCCAGGACTTACAACTAGGATTTTTGACTCCAAATCCAATGTTTTCTTTCTTTGTATGTCATGCCCTATCATCTGTAATATGAGAATAATGATAATAATATTTATAATTATAGAAGTTTTACAAATCACTTTATGCACTGGAAAGAATTATGCAAAGTATAAAGTCATGTCTTATCATTCTTCCTCTTCCTCATATAATTTGTATTCTACTAATTCCCACTAAGGTGTTAGCTAATGATAGGCTTAAGGTATAGTCCTTTCCTGTGATATGTGCTTTTAATAGTGAACACAATAGCTAACATTTATTGTACAATGTCTCTTGACCACGCACTGTTATAAGTACTCCTGTGTATTTACTCATTTCATCCTTAAAACAAGCCTATAGGGTAGATATTATTATCATCCCCATTTCAAAACTAGTCCCTGACTCATAAGGTAGTTGTTTTGATAAAATTGAGTTCATATATGTAAAATGCTGAAAACAGTGTCTGGGCACAAAACAAACACTGTGTAAATTCTAGATATAATTAGTGCTATTACTCTCCCCATTTTCTACGTACATAGAGTGAGGCTTGGAGACCCTTAATGAGACCCATTCACAATCTCTGATGATGTTAGAGGAAGTGGTGCAAATTGCAACTTACATACACATAACCCATTAGAACTGGAAATGTGTCCCACCTCCTCTAACATCATTCACCTTAAAGCTGCAGTGATAGAGCTTACCACAGCCAAATCTGGGCCAAAACAGTCAGTTTCAGGAGCTTCTAGCTCTGAAAGATTGGATGAGTACACCTCAAAAATAAAAACACTCCAAAAGAAGCTAGCCAAAGCCCACTGTTGCTCTGAGTAATGCAGAAGAGCCTGGGCCTTTATCAATTTTTTTTAGTTACATTTTCATATAATAATGGAATGCAATGGAAAGCATTGCTACTTTACAATGTATTGTTTTCATATCCAATATCCCAATTTAGCCTCACTAGAGACCTGAGAGATGCCTGAGGTGAGGATGAGAATTTTCAACTGGCAGAGAAAGCTGCTAAAACCCAGAGGGAAGGTAAGATTTGTGGCAGAGATGAGACTACAATTTTCATATCCTATTTGGCTCCCAGTTTCTGTGTGTGTCAGAGGAAATCCTTTCCCTTCCCTCAGACTCAGTGTAAATCATCTGTAAAATGTGTATCATCTGTAAAATGAAGTGAATGAACCAGATGTTCAACAGGACCCCTGACCTACACCGATGTCCCTCACATTCACAGCTGTTTTGCTCCACTTTTTCAGTTTCACTGGGCTGATTGTTGTTGTTGTTGTTTGTTTTGTTTTTTTCTTTGTACAGGGAACTGAATCCAGGGGTGCTTAACCACTCAGCAACATCCTTAGCCCTTTTCTGTATTTTATTTAGAGACAGGGTCTCACTGAGTTGCTTAATGTGCCTCGCTTTTGCTGAGCCTGGCTTTGAACTTGCAATCCTCCTGCCTCAGCCTCCTAAACTGCTAGGATTATAGGCATGCACTACTGGCCTGGCTAGGCTGGTGTTTTAAACACCAAGGAAAGCTAGAAAGTATCTCTGTGAAACCAGCAGAGGGCATAGGATGCCTGCAGAGAAGAGCCACTAGGAAACCACTAGGCAAAAAGGAGGTGACCAGTCTCTCACTGAACTTAAAGAGTTAATTATAAGTTTAGATTGGAGGCAAGAATCAGTGAAAAGATCCCCAGGAACTGTCTGGTTCAAATTCACATTGTTCTGATGGAGAAACTGAGCTCCAGTGAGAGGAAGAAACTGGACTAAGGTCACAAAGCTGATCATGAGTAGAAATGAAATTAGAACCCAGTGTTACCTGATTTTCAGACACTATTATTTCAACAGTACAAATCAGCTTACTGCTATATGCTACTCTCTTGAATTCTTTTACAATTATTTATAATTTATCAAATTTCAGTAGTAGTAGTAGTAGTAGTGATTGCTACCACTTTGTAGATATCCACAAAGGGCATTGTACATAGTACTAGGCTGCATACTTTACATACACTGTTTTTTTTTTTTTCACAACAGCCCTTTAGGTAGGCAGTATTTAAACCCATTTCACAAATAAGAGGGCAACTCACATCCAATCCTTAGTAATTTTAAAGCCTGTGCTTTTAAAGATCCCACAAGGCATCTGCATCTAGCATATATGGCCCACTAGGAATGTAATTTGTCCATCTGTGACCCTCTTCCAGGTTATAGGTGACCCTGGACATGCAGTGCCCGACTGCAATTGTTAGCTAATGGAGTAACCTGGTATACTTATTTGCTTGCTTGTTTGATTGTTGGTGTTAAAACCACTGCAATAAAAATTACTTCCACAGTATAACTCCAATATTTATGTTTTATAGCTTACCATAACTGAAAAATATAGAAAGAGAATGCTTGTAAACATATTAATGCCTTTCTCCAAAAAACAGGACTATTGCTTCTGTCCTGATTGGGCCCAAATGCTCTAAAAGTGGGATGGGAGAGATGATAGAAACAGCTCTACAAAGGTAATCCATTTCACCCTACCATAATGAAGAAGAATTTTAATTAACTATTCTTTAAAAAATACTTTTGCCCTAAAATAATCTGGAGAAAGGATATCATGTCTCCTTATAAAAACATTCTTAAGGCTCAAAGTCAGATTTCCCTCTAGTGTTTATTCAACATTCCTTCCACAATAATTCTAGCATATTTATTTTTTCGTCCTTGAGTAGGGGTATGCTGAAGAGCTGCCTGTTACTACTCAAATTAAGTCCCCTGGAAACAACAGATAAAATACTTGATTTAAAGTAAAAAATAAGAACCTGGGGCTGGAGATGTAGCTCAGTGGTAGAGTGCATGACTTAGCATGCAGGAGGCTCTGAGTTTGATCACCAGCACATACACACACACAAAAATTAAGAACTCAAATTTGAACTCAAATTCTATCACAATCTGCATGACTGTGGATAAGTCACATTGAGCTCCAGTTTCCTCACTGGTAAAATGAGGATAGTCCCACCTATTTCACAAGGTTAGTGTAAGAATTAAATGGAAATAATACATGACAGTATCCTGCCAGATACTGGATATGAAGCTCTTCTCAATAAATTATGGGAGAAGAATATAAATGGACTGTCCTTAGTTTATATTCTTCAGGTCAAATAATTTAGGGTGTTGTTACTAGAAAAGTACCTAAAGACATCAAGCGCAGCCTACTGCACTAATAAGGAAACTGAGATCCAGCAAGATGAAAGGATTTATCTCAATATAATATAGACAACAGAGCACAGAGCTAGGACACAAATGCAGATCTTCTGTCACAGCTCAGAGGCTCCCCTGGAGCCCAGTCTCTAGATCTACTTCCTGCTGGAGGGGAAGGGAAGGAAGAAGGCGGACAAAGCCAGGGAAATGTCTCACAACCTAAGAAAAATGGGAGAGCATGACTCCCTTAGACATAATTAAATGACCATGGCCATATTCCTACTATTCTCAGGGCTTCAGGATCAGTCAAGTTCCCTGCACCTGACTGCTAGGAGCATTCCTTTCAGGACATCTCTGGCTGATGGTGGGATATGGGGTATGAGGTATGAGTTGAGCTGGCTTCTGGGGTCCCAAATATTTCAAATAGTTATTTGGAAAAGCCAGCCTTACCTGAGAATGACAAACTCCAGAGCAGGCCTTGGTGGCTTTGCCTTCTGCATCCCCTGCACCCATTTCCATCTCAAGCTTCTGGGGCTTCCTGGCCTGGCTGGACTCCTCTGGTCCCAAATTTTCCTCCTGCTCTTTCATTTCACTGGGCCTCTCCTCCAACTTCTCCATGACAGCCTCAGTGGTGAACCTCTTGGCATAGGCACCCAATTTAGGGGGCTCTCTGGAACTGTCCTCTTCCTTGAGGAAGCTGACCACAGTCTCTGTGTCTTCGTCAAGCTCCTCAGAGGAGGAGTGCTCCCTGGTGGAGGTATGGCAGTTGCTGTGGCAGTGGCCTTTCTGCTTTACTGGGTCATCCTGGAACTTGAAGACTGCTGAGGTCATAGAAGAGGTGGCAGCATCACAGGGACCTGATAGAGCCTGACCAGGAATCTCCTCACCTTCAACGCTCATCTCAAAAGTGCATGAAGTGTGTGGGGCCTTCCGGTGATGGCGTCGGCACCTTCCCATAGCATTGCCCCACAGGTTGGATTCAGTGGTTTGGCAGGGCAGATCAAGTGGGAAGGAGACTTGGGAGGTAGTGCCTTCCAGGGTGAAGCCATCTCTGCAGTAGGGTTCACGGTGGCGGCGGCCCAACTGTGGCTCTTCACGGGAGAATGACCGCCACTTGCGGGCCGCTTCAGCCATATTGTTGAAGAATTTGACAACGACACTGAATGGAGCCATCTTATCTCTGTGCTGATGTCCAGGGCTCTCCTCATAGATGCCTTCTGTGTCTCCTTCCAAGGTGGAGCCCTCAATGGTGGTCTCAAGCCCCTGGATTCTGGTGTCTTCTATCCAGGTAGAAGGGGCCTCATGACTCCTGGGAGACATGTTTTTCAGGTAGCTTCTGCATTGTCTGTCACTACTGAAGTGCCCAGGAACCTCTTCCTCCTCCCAGAAATCTTCCTCCACTTGGATGCCAAAATCCTCAGAGGCTAGCACCTTCTGGTTTTCCCTCTTGGGTGCTTGCACAAGCCCCTGCACATCTTCAAGGAAAGGCTCCAACCCCTCAATGTGGCCTGCATAGGAATGGCGGAAGGGTTTTAGAGCATCCTCAATATTCCGTATCCTGTAGACACCTGTGGCTTCCTGTGGCTCCTGGACCTTGCTACTCCTAAGGGGAGTATTCTTAGAGGCCCCAGTAGAAGTCTTTGACCTCCTGAATGACTTCATTCGATCCATGAAGGTGACTTTGGATTTTACCTCTGATGGTCTGGAGATGTCTTCCAGCAAAATCATGGACTGAGGTCGCTTCCTCTGGCTGGAAGCTCCTTTTCTGCGACTCACAAAATTCCAGATCTTATTGACTTTTGTCTTCTTCTTGTTCCAACCACTCTCTTCCTTGGGACTCATGTCTCTCTGGATACACTGCTCAGATCCCTCTAGCTCCTCCAGCCTCACCTCCTTAGTCAAGCCTTCTACCTCAGGGGGGTCTGGGAAGACCTGAGCCTGGCAGCCATTGGGCACCAGCTCTGAGAAGGAAGCAGTCCGGCAGATGCTGAGAGTCTCCATGGTCACAGCAGGAATGGGCCACCAAGGCACAGGGGGAGGGATGGCCAGTTATTTCCAGCTGAAGGAGAGAGAGGGAGAGGGAGAGGGAGAAGGAGAGGGAGAAGGGGAGGGAGGGGGAGGGGAGGGGAGGAGGAGGGGAGGGGGAGGGAGGAGGAGGAAGAGGGAAAAGAAAGAGGGAGTGTGAGGGAAGGAGAAAGAATATTAACGATAGAGAGAGAGTGAGAGAGAGAGAGAGAGAAGTGCTAGGTTAGGCAAGGCTAAAAACAGGGTACTTTATAGATTCGTAATGATCAAATACATAGAACACACTTTATCACAACTGGAGTGCCAAATCTTGAAGACCTTTACAAAGCAAAAACTCATTATTTTGGACCCACTAGTTTAAGATCTGGATCCAAGATTACAGTTTGTGTGTCAAGGAAAGCTTTGATTGACATTTAAATACAAAAAAAAAAAAATTGAGAAGGGCATAACTTAAAGCTATTATCAGACTATGACAACTGAGGAAAATGCATTAAAAAAAACTAAGAGAAGGCTAAAAGGTACCTCAGAAATATGTGTGTTGATTCTCTCAATTTACAGGGAAGCACTTGAGATTCAGAAGACATATGTCTTGCCCAAGCCACAAAGCCAAGGGAGCAGCAGGTAGGGATCCAGTCCATGCTTCCCTCTTGCGTTTGCTCCTTCATTCACTCAGGAATCCAGCCTGAGAGAACTCACCTATCAGATTACCTGCTCAAGCAAACATCCTCCAGCTAAATGCTGGATCCCCAAATGAGTCAGACATACACACTTAGTCATCCAGGTTCACAGGCTACTGGGAGAGACCTGTGGATGTAAACAAACTATTACAATTGAGCCAATACTATACATGTCCTAATAGGTGTATGCACAGCAGCAGCAAAAGCTTGGAGGGAATAAAGGAGAAGATAGTGGACTGGGAGGTAATGGAGGTTGGGCAGAAGACCAAAGAGGTGATTATGGCCCCTAAGAATACCTCCCAGAATAGCTGGGACCAGAAATGAGAGCTCTCTTTTGATGGAGTCTCTCTCTCCATATAGTCAGTGCCCTTTGCCCTTCTGCCCTGCACAGTCTGAAAACAAATTTGCTAAGAAGGAGACCAAGAGGAGAGGGTAGACCCATCAAACCATCAAGCTGACAGATGATGCCTTGACTGCTTCTGCTTTCTTGGTGGTTTTTCTTAGGAACCAGCTCACCAGGCTCAGAGGTGTCTGTTCCTCCTCTGTTCTTCATAGCTAACTTTCACTTGATATTTTTAAGCCAAAAAGGAAAAGACTGAAACATACCTCAGAAATCCATTCTGTCATTTTACAGAAAGGCACTGGGAATCCAGAGAAGACATATTACTTGCCTAAGTCACAGAGCCAAGGGAGCAGTAGGATGATGCATTTTACCTTGTGTCCTTCCTGTATGTATGTGAATAGCCTACAGAGAATGATTCAGAAAATGTTCAAGTTGGAAGAGACCTGAAAGATGAGCTCGTTTGGGAAAATGGGACCAAAAGTAGGCACACTTGATTATGATCATACAGCAAGTCCATGGCAGGCCAAGAAGAGAAGCTGTAGTCCCACTGCTTCCTAGGACAGGCAGAGTCTTTATCTCTGTACTACACTGGCATCCTTATCCATGAGTTCTGTTTCCTCCAAGTAGGCTGAGGATAATAAGATTTTAATATTCATAAGTGCCAGACAGTGCAGTAAGTTCTTTATATTTTTAGTTCTCACATCAGCTCTATGAGGTAGATACTACTACTTCCATTTTAAAGATAGTCCAACTGAGACATAGAAAGCTCAATTGATTTAGTCTACATTCTCCATAGCTGCTAAGTAATGGTGTTGAGATTTGAATGCAGAAGTGTGGATCTAGAGGCCATGCTCTTAAATATACTATACTCCTTTTTTAGAACATGGGTTTATACAGAAGATGGTCCATATATAAGTCTGCCTGCCTGCCTCACAAATTCTTTTGGTAATAAGAGCAGGATGTGTTTCCTATAATGCATCTGGACACAAAATATCAGTATCAGGGCCTATAGTAGGGCATAGTGAAAGAATGGGTTGGTGGGAGATGATCATCATACCTGATAATCTTCCTATAAAAAGCCTTCCCAAGTTAGGCAAGTTAAATCAGGATTTTACTTTCCCCAGTTGTCCACCCAGCCATAGCCCTTTCCTTTGGAATTTACTCCAAGTGCATTCCAAAACAAAACCAAAAAAAAAGAATATACCATGAAAAAATTCAGCCTTGCATCTAAGTGCAAATAATGTCAGCAAGAGCTTTGAGATCCCCTCACCCACCCCATCCATCATTTGACAGGATGAAACTGAGGCACAGAAAATGCTAATGAAAATCATGGTATCTGAAAAAAATTTAAAAAAAGATCATATTTACAAAATCACTAAAACATTTAGAAATAAATTGAACCAAAGAGGAGAATGACTTGTATACTGAGAACTATAAAATATCAATGAGAAAAAAGAATCAGACACAAATATATGGAAAAATGCTCCATAGTCATGTATTAGAACATATAATATTTTAACATGTCCATACCACCTGTCTTAGTCTGTTTTCTATTGATATAACAGAACTCTTGAAACTGGGTGATTTATAAAGAAGAAGATTCATTTTGGCTGATGGTCCTAGAGACTAGGAAATTCAAGAACATGGTACCAGACTCTGCTCATCTTCTGGTGAGAGAAAAAAAAAAAAGAAGAGAAAGTAGTCATGTGCAGAAGTGATAAAACATGAGGGATGGCCTTGCTGTGTAACAAACCACTCTTGAAAGAAAGACATTAATCCTTCTTAATGACCTAATCACCTCTTAAAGGCCTCACCTCCCCTCGCAGCCAATAATGACAGTCAAACCTCAATATAAGTTTTGAATGGGACAAACCATAATTAACCATAGCACTACCCAAAGCAATCTACAGGTTCAATGCAATTGCCATGAAAAGTCCAATGACATTTTTTCACATAAATAGAAAAAAAAATCTTAAAATTCATATGAAACCACAAAAGATTTTGAAGAGTGAAAGCAATCTTGAGTATAACAACAAAACTGGAGGAATCACATTGCCTGGTGTCAAAATGTACTACATGGCTCTAATAATAAAAACAGCATAGAACTGGCAGAAAGGTAGACTCACAAAGCAGTAAGTGGAAAAGAATAAAAAGCCCAGAAATAAAGCAACACACAGTCAACTAATTTCAAAACAAATGTGCCAATAACACAGTGGAGAAAGGATTCTCTTCAACAAATGGTGTTCTGAAAATTAGATATCCACATGTAGAAGATTGAAATTGGACCATTATATTACCCCATATGCAAAAATCAACTCAAAATTAATTAAAGACTAAAACATAAGCCCTAAAAATACAAAACTACTGAAGAAAACTGGGGGGAAATATCATGACTTTGATTTTAGCAAAAGATTTTGGGATATGAACCCAAAAGCAAGGCACCAAAAGCAAAAATAATAGACAAACAAGACTATATCAAGCTGATAATCAACAAAGTGAAGAGGCAAAATATGGAATAAGAAAAAAATATTTGCAAACCGAACATCTGAAATGGGTTACTATATAAAATATGTAAGGAAGAAACTCAATTCAATATCAAGAAAAACAAATCACCCATTTTAAAAAATGAACAAAAGACATTTCTCAAACAAAAGACATATGAATGGCCAACAGATAAAAGAAGAAATTCTCAACAGCTCTAGTCATCATGGAAATCCAATTAAAACCACAATGAGATATCACCTCATAGCTGTTAAGATAACTACTATAATAATGACAAGCAATGACAAGTTTTGGGGCCTGCACCACTACCACCATTGCTGCTGCCTCTGAATCCACTGCTGCCAGCCTGAGATTGCCTGGAGGTCTTCTTTCTGGGTGCTGCTGCCATAGAAAAAACCACTGCCTCAGATGCAACTGAAGCCGACACTGCTGCTAAACCCTGGAGATCGCCTAGTGATGCTACCCTCACAGCTGCAGCTGCAGCTGCCACTGCTACTGCTGACCCACTGCCTGCTGCAACAATCACTGCCAATACAGGTACAATCACAGCCTAGAGGACTGCTTCAGGGGAGACTCCAGGTTTGGTTGCACATGGCTGCACCCATTTTTGGACACTAACCAGGGCCTGGGGCCCAGGTGCCAGCGGGTTTACCACCATGAGAGCCTCTGTTTAGTGACACAGCTGGAGCCTGCAGGTCCAGTGTGGGGGTGCCTGTGGATTTGGAGGAGCCTGGGGTCTTCCTGCTGAGAGTGCTGGTGGCCCTTGTCTTGCTGTTGCATCTTGGGGTTGCTCCTTTGCATGAGTGTGTCCCTGGTGGTCTCTCTGCAAGTAGGAGCAGCATTGAGATCTTGGGACTATAGCATGGCTGATCCTGAGGTATCTGAAGCCCAGATCGGTGGGATAGAGTCTGGGTTTGTGAGGGCTGATCTGGGTTTGGTGATCCAGAGGGACATCAAAGACAGGGCTGAGAAACTGTTGAACACTGACAGAGATAGTTCAATTTTTCAGCAAGATTTATTTTATTTTATTTCATTTTTTGATTCACTAATCTCTTTATCATATTTGGAACAGGATGATTTTTATGCATCAGTGTGTGGAGGACAATGATATAGGAATGGTGTTTTGCATTTTTGTTGTATTCTTATGACTTTAATTTTTTCTCTTTGTTCATATTCTTCCTCTTGTCTATTTTCCTGGATTGTCTTTCCAACTTTTCTGCAACCAACAGCCAATCACCGTCCACTCCTCTTGCTCTCTTCCTGTGAAGTTTTACATCTAGCTTCTCTCTTACTCTCTCACGAATCTTGTATACTATACTACCTATGTTCTCTCATCCATCATTTGAAATTGTAAATCATTTGAACAAATATTATTTTTGTACTATAGATAGTTATTGAACTCATAATTTGGGTTTAATGTGAAAAAGCAGTAGACCCCATAGTAGGATCTATTATGTTTAAGGGTAAATATTGTGTACACTGGGTGCTGCTGACATTGGTCTCACCAGTAAA